TCCCCCTTTGTGCATTAATAAATTTACATGCCTTTTCTCCTATTTAATCTTTGTCAGTTTATTCCAGTGAACCTTCAGAGGCTGGTGGTGAGGTTTTCCTCACCCCTTCACTAGCCTGTATTCTCCAAAAATGGCAAAGAAAGGCTGAAGAACTGTTTCAAACAAAAGGAGACTTAGGGGCATGGTAGACTTAGCATGGTAGGCTAAGCCTCTTGCCTGAGGCACCAGCATCCCATACGGGCACCAGCTACTGTCCCAGCTACTCCTCTTCTGATCCAACTCCCTGCTAATGGCCTAGGAAAGCAGTGGAAGATGGCCCAAGTGCTTGGGCTCCTGAACCCACATTGGAGACCCAGAAGAAGCTCCTGGCTCCTGGCTTTGGATCTGTCCAGCTCCGGCCATTACAGCCATTTGGGGAGTGAACCAGTGGATGGAAGACCTCTCTGTCTCTCCCTCTTTGTCTGTAACTCTGTCTCTCAAATAAATAAAATTCTTTTTTTTTTTTAAAATAAGACTTAAGAAACATGACATCTAAATGCAATGTGTGATCCTGATTGGGATCCTGGAGGGAAAGTAGAAGTTGTAAAGATTATTGGAGTTCTTGAAATTTAAATAAAACCTGTATACTATTTAATTAATGTTAGATTTCCTAATTTTGATCATCATATTGTGGTTATACAAGAGAATGTCATTATATTTTTAGGAAATACACATTGAAATATTTAGGGGTACAATGTCTTGAAAACACTAAAGTGGTTGTGTGTGTGTGTGTGTGTGTGTGTGTAGAGAGAGAGAGAGAGAGAATGATACACCCACATGGTGGAATTGTAAAAATTATATACTATTCATATGACTTTGATTTTTCTGTATGTTTGGAATATCCAAATTGAAACTTAGACAGAATGCCAGAATGTCTGAAAGACTCACATGCTTCAGAGTCTGAGATAGCATCTCAGCTCAGAATTCCCCAAGCTTCACCTTTCAGAGAAATTGGCAGTTTGGAAGCTACGTTTTCTCTCATATTAAAAACAGGGACTCTGAAATAAGACCTCTTAAAAATGTGATAACAGGGGCTAGTGTTGTGGTATATCAGGTGAAGCTGCCATCTTTGATGCCGGCATCCCAAATCAGAGCCCTAGTTCAAGTCCCAGCTGCTCTGCATTTGGTTGAGCTTCCTGAATAATGTGCCTGGGAAGGCGGCAGAAGATGGTCCGAGTGCTTGTGGCCCTGTCACCCACATGGGAGACCCAGATGGGGTTCTTGGGTCCTGGTTTTGGCCTGGTCCAGACTTTGCTGTTGTGGCCACTTGGGGAGTAAGCCAGTGGATGGATGGAAGATTCTCTCTCTCTCTCTCTGTAGCTCTTTCCAATAAAGAAATGAATCTTTAAATTAAACCAAATGTGTTAACAGAACAAAAATTACAGTATTGATATAAATATTCAAAGCCTTCATTATTACTTTTTAAAAAAAAATTTTTTTTTGACAGGCAGAGTGGACAGTGAGAGAGAGAGAGACAGAGAGAAAGGTCTTCCTTTGCCGTTGATTCACCCTCCAATGGCCGCCGTGGCCAGCGCGCTGCGGCCGGCGCACCGCACTGATCCGATGGCAGGAGCCAGGTGCTTATCCTGGTCTCCCATGGGGTGCAGGGCCCAAGCACTTGGGCCATCCTCCACTGCCCTCCCGGGCCATAGCAGAGAGCTGGCCTGGAAGAGGGGCAACCGGGACAGAATCCAGCGCCCCGACCGGGACTAGAACCCTGTGTGCCGGCGCCGCAAGGTGGAAGATTAGCCTAGTGAGCCGCGGCACCGGCCTCATTATTACTTTTTATATTAAGTTCTTATTTCCTTCCTAACAGGACCCTTAATTTGGGGGGGAATTTTTATTGTATATTCAAATTGAAGATTGGTCAATTGTCAGTGTCATAGAAGGATTTTATGTAGTAGGCAAGAACACAGGGGAACTGACTCTAACTGTAAAAGATTAAATATTTTTAGTTTAAAATTCCTCCTAAGAAGCAGTCCCAGAATTTAGAGAATTCCTGTCTGAAACTCTTACCTTCCTTGTCCCTAGATTCTGCTGCCTTCAATGTTACTCTAAAGGGGAACCATTTTCCAGGTCAACAATTGTGACCCTCAGTTGTTACAAATAAGCCAACAGCCTCTGGATGAACTGGTCAGCTTCTGTTCACTTGCTGATTATTTTAGAACATTAACAGGTTCTTGGCCAGTGCTGATCCTGGTAGACGTTGGCCTGGCACGATCAACTCCCAGGGTGTCCGAGTGCTGCAGGGATGATTTTAGATCGCCCAAGCCCAGGCCATCATTTGTTCCATAAGACATTCTCTTCTTCCACCCAGACCTGAAATGCGCATGTATAGCGGGAAGGATCCTACTTCAGCAGTAAGGATCCTTGAGTTCAGTCCAAAATGGCCACTCATGTACTTTGCTACCTTGAACAAAGCTCTTTTCAATGTCTGTTTCCTTCCTCGTAATACAGTGATAACCCAGAATCTTCATCTACCACAAACATTACTATTTGGAACAAAGGGGTAGTGAAAACAACAGCTTTAAAATCTATTAAAATCCTGTTGACAGAAGGACAGTGAATGCCCTAGCACTTATGGATATGTGACGGGCTAAAAATCTGAAGAGATTGTGATAAATTTAGATGACAGGAGGCAAGTGCAAAACACATCTGACTTGGTGAATATTTTCTGGATGTAAAGTTCAAGCCAGATATCCAAAGATTCAAAGAGCACTACATTTGACCAGCTTGTTGGATGTTAGGAGTTTGGAGCAGGCATTAGGCTACAATTGACAAACCCACATCTCACGTCAGAGTATCTGGGTGCAATTTCTGGCTCTGGCTCCTAGCTCAAGCTTCCTACTAATGCTGACCCTACGAGGCAGTAGTGATGGCTCAAGTACTCAGATTTCTGCCACTCACATAGGAGGTGTGAATTGTGTTCCCAGCTCCTGGTTCTGGCCTTGGACCAGTTCTGGCTATTGTAGGCATTTGGGGAGTAAACTGGATGGGAGCTCTGTTTGTTTCGAATCAATAAAAATAAAAATATACTAGAGAGAGAAAGAGAGAGGAATGATACCTGTAGCCTTTTGAAAAAGAATATCAACTCTACTTCTAATTAACCATCCTTTAATTTTTGGTTTCCTTCTCATTAAGAATCAGTGTACACAACCAATCTCATAGGATTCTGGTGACCATTAAATGAAAGATAGTGAAGGATTATACTAATTATACTGATGTTTTTTTCCTTTCTGATCCCAATCTGCTAAGAGGCATAAATGTTAAACTGAGTTGTTGGCATGTCTTTATACTGAGGCAAAGACTAGTTGAAAATGCATTCACCAGCTCACCATGTCACCAAAGCCAACAAACCCAATATTGTGCTGTTTCTCCTGTTCTAACGTTTGCAGGTTCCTGTTCCCTTATACAAGCTTCTATAATAAAGTATCTTACAAGCTTTTATAAAAGATGAAAATATGTATTGCCTTTTTCTTGGTGTTCTTAATAGTTTTAACTAGAAGCAATTGTTTTCTTACTGCCTGAGAGACCTAGTTGATCCCACGTGAAAATTGGTTTTCCCCAGCAGGAGAGTTCCTGTGGTTCAGATTCTAACTTCAGTTTGGTCAGGGATAAACTGCCCAGGTCACATGGGCCCCTCTGCTGCATGAGGGACTCCTGGCAAGCGGATGACTCTAGGCCTACAGTGTGTAACTCAGGGGCAGCATTCAGAGAAAAGGGTCAAAAGTTCATCTGAATCAGCTCTCCTCCATAGCATTCTGGAAGACTCCATGTTCCCCTGAGTCTTCAAGGGCATTTGTGTTGAGGCAGTTTTGAGGGCCTGCCTGACTCCAGGCTTTCCAGTAAAGCAGACTAGGAATAACCTAGAGATGTGTACCCCCTACTTATTGTCTTTTGTGATGTGAGAGTGAAAGCTCACCAGTGCCTCCCTCCTGAAGAAGCTGGGATGCAGAGTAGCCTTTCTCTAACCTGGGGAGCTTCTTTGGTTTGTTGTTCCTTCAACTCCCACAAGTCCCCCGTTCTGAAATCACCCATTCATTCAACTTCCTCATCTCAGAGACCATCTGGTCCTCTAGTCATTGTCTCTGCTTCCCAGATCTTCACCACTTCCTGCCTAAGTACTGCTCTAGCCTCCCAACTGGTGCCCTGCCTCAGTAGTTGTGCCCCCCGCACCACCCCCCACTATCATGAGTGCTATAAAATGAAAACATAATCATGTCCCGACTTTTTTTTTTAATGGAGTTATTGATGCTGTTTCTTTTTCTTTTTTTTTTTTTTAGACTTATTTTATCTGAAAGAGCTACAGAGAGAGGTAAAGACAGAAAGAGAGAGAGAGAGAGAGAGAGAGAGAGAGAGAGAGAGAGAAGGAGGTCTTCCATCCGCTGGTTCACTATACAAATGGTCACAATGGCTAGAGCTGAGCTGATCCAAAACCAGGAGCCAGGAGCTACCTCTGGGTCCCCTACACGGACGCAGAGGCCCAAGGACTGGGGCCATCTTTTGCTGCCTTCCCAGGCACAGCAGCAGGGAACAGGATTGAAAGCAGAGCAGTCAGGACTTGAACCAGCGCCCACGTGGGATAACAGCACTGCAGGCCAGGGCTTTAACCCGATGCACCACAGTGCCAGCCTCATTCCTACTTTCTTACGTCACCCTTGGCTCCCTGATAACTTACAAGATAATGCCTAAATTCCTTAGCATGTGCATTGAATCTATCATATTCTTTAATAACTCCTTAATTTCCTCTTTGGTAATCTTTCCTTTCACTGTAGCATAGATCTCTTAACTTTACCCTTCCATTTCCCCTCAGTAAACTTCTTGAGAGCATAGATTTTTTTTTGTTTATTTGTTTTCAAATCAAATTCCTATGACCAGGATGTAGGATGGAGATTGGCATGTAAGCAATAAATAAGTAATAAATAATAAATAAACAAATAAAAACTCAGAAGAGGTCAGCATTTAATTTGAATTAGCATTTAATTTTAATTAAAATTAACGTTCAGATGAAGAACAGGACTAGAATAGTGTTTAATATCAACTTCTGAGAAATCACATTTATATAAAAGAAATGATACAGGCTAGCAGAAGTCCAGCAAAAGGTGCAGCTTACATTATTGCACTTGAATGCAATATGCTTGTTAGGGTAGGGTAATACTCAGGCCAGACCAGGTCAAGAGCAGGAAGGGACAAACACAGAGGACAAACCTCTGGGTGGTATTTCTTGTGAATTCCGAACCCTCTAGTGGCCTGGAAGATATTCAACGTATTTGCAACATTCAACGAGATCTTTATAAAAACGGCTGCAGTGTTTTGACATTCACAGGCTTTGTTCTAATCAGATACAAGTTCGATGTACAGCTCTGCTTCCCGCAGGGCCTTCTTAACACCAAAGCCTCTCAGTGCCCAAGGTCATGGACATGAGGGGAAGGGGAGTGAACTTCTAGTTCACACAGATTTTAAGGAACAATACTGTGGCTATTGTTTACCCTTTCAAGCACTCTTGATTTTGGTCATTTATGTCAGAACATGAGAAAAAGTGACAGTGAATATGCATGATACTAAAATGATTCATAGGCTGCTAGTAGAAAATAAATTTTTTTTAAAAAAAAAGTCCCTTGCCACAGTCATGCAGGTGGCAATAATTGTACGAATAAGAAAAAGGCTGTAAACTTATAGAAAAGATCAACTGCAGCTTCTAAACAAATTACAAAGTTGATTTCACTTTTACCCTTGAGTGTTATACAGAAAAATGTAAACCTGTGGACCTAGTTATCAGAAAACTTTTATCCTCCTAAGCCCGGGTACCACCTTAAAGTTTGGCCTGAGATAGTTTTATCTTCAAGTTTTCTCCAAGTTTGTCCATGAACTCAAATGTATTCAAGTAGTCAGAGCGTTGCACACTAATAGGGGAGGAAAAAAAAGAAAAATTTAGGTTGTTTCTGACAGGGGATCAAGTGTAGGCAAATCCTAGAAATGCTATTCAAATTAAAATTCTATGTCCTTCTGAAAGAAAACTGACAAATGATAACAAGCTACAATCTGCAGATAATAACTGTGCTCAAGGCTCCTGGGACTGACCCAGGCTCAGGACCCAGGCTCCGTGGGCATCCTGCAGTGGGCAGTCATCCTCACACACTCACAGGAAGTTTCTTACCAGATAGCTTTGCCGGTGAAACTATCACCGGGTTTCAGTTTAGCCTAATATTAGTGAGACTAAACCCATCCCCCTTCTTCCTCATTCTTAAAACAAAACAAAATGAAACAAAAAACCACCCTATCTACAGTACAGCCTTGTCTTTACCCACTTTCCCATGGACTGTTTCATGTCCTTGATAAAAAGCTTTGATCCTGTTATTTCTCATCAATGTCTTATTTAAGAAAAACAAGACAATGGACTTGCTAACATCAATGCTGCTCTTGGGTGCCGATGCAACAGGCTACAGAGGTACTAGAGTGACAAGAATGTTTCAATACTATATTTTGCTGGATATTTAAGTTAAGAAACGTCACTGAGTAGATTCCCTTTCCTGTGGTATAGACTGACCCTAACTGAGAACTCTTGAGGGCAGATGGGTTAGGGACATAGCTTTAGTGTTCAACTCCAGCTCTGCTTTGAGAAAGGTGTCTCTGGTCAGCAGCTGATCTGATTCTCAGCAAACGTTTTCAGCAAAACCCTGGGCAACATATGGACCCTCAAGTATTTGATCATTACAGGTACTTAAGTAAGGGACTGTAACCAATTTGATATCTTACACTAGTGCTGCTTACTTTTCTAATCTATAAGTTAAAGAAAGTAAAGGGAATGAAATAGTCCCTGATGCCTTTTTGTTTGCAATTATCTATGATTTTCTTCTTAAGTTAAACAGAATCTTGTTTTTCAGTGATTACCAACTATTTAGAGGTCAGCAAGCTATAGCTTGGTGCATGGATTACATCTAACTGCAGCCTGGTATTGAACACAGAAGTCTGATTGGAATGCAACTACACCCATTCAGTGACTGCCTTTCTGCTACAACAGCAGAAACTTGAGTAGTTGTATAAGTGCAAAACATCCGTTATGTCCCACCAAGCCAAAAATGTTCCCTATTTGACAATTTACCAATAATGTCTGCTGATACCTCAATGAGACGATAAGAATTCATGTAATTTCAAAAAGCATTGATGTTTTGAGCCCAATGAGAATATGTGGCAATTTGACCATGGAGGTTAGGGCATCTGATACTTACTTGGGTAAACCTTTAATGCAAGCAGCCAAGTCCTTGGTCATGAAGCCAGCCTCAATAGTCTCAATACAGACTTCTTCCAAAGCGTTTGCGAAGAAGCTGAGCTCTTTATTGTTATCAAGCTTTGCTCTGTGGGCTAGCCCTCTGGTCCAGGCAAAAATGGAAGCTAAAAGAGGGGAGAAACATACCCAACACACACAAATTTCAATCATCCTGGTTATAGGGATTCCCAAATGTTTCACAGTGCCTCAAAACAGCACGGCTTTTTGTTTACATGATGGACTTCATTAGATGCTATCCATGTGGGCTAGAAGTTTTAGAATAGCTGGAAATATTTTACCAAACAGGAATGTTAAGAAAGCATATTTTCATGGTGTGATACTGGTGCTGAAGCTCAAGGTTTTTACTAACTTAGAGAAGGTCACAATCTTCTCTTGTCTATTTCGGTCTCCTCTTTCCAAATGTAATCTCTATATGAAGTGCTGTCCTTGACATCTTGTTGGAAGTATCTATCCATGTGGCTTTTAAGTTCGTAGCCTTTTCTGAAAGTCACCACACCAGAGGTAAAGGAAAACATTTACTGTCAATTTCTCTTTCAGTCATAGCCTCCCACATAACAGAAAAGCATATACAGTGTGTTCTGAGAAGCATATTAAAATAACTCATTAATAGAACACATCAGCTACTTGGTGATGACTTTGCATGCAAATCACTGAGCAGCTAAAGGGGACCCATCTGGGTTCCTCCGGAGATGTCCTTTGGAGAGTGTCCTCTGGTTGGGAGTCGACACAGAAGTCAGAATCATCTTACCAATGGGATTTGTGGATGTCTCCTGTCCTTTCTGGTGCATGCGGTAGTGACGCGTTACAGTCCCGTGGGCAGCCTCTGCTTCCACTGTCTTGCCATCTGGACAAATCAGCACACTGGTCATCATGCCGAGAGAGCCATACCCTGTAAGTGGCAGAGCATGAGGCATCGGGTTCAACTGCATGAAGAGCACTGGGTCTCTCAGACATGACAGTAAAGGACTCCGTCTTGACGGGCCTTGGTAAACATCAGCACGCGGAGTCATCTATAACTCTGCCCCTTTGCAGAAAGTGGGGTCCCGCTTCAGACCTGACTCAAAGGACCCAGAAAGGCTGATCGTCTTCCTTAGGAAAAAGGACCCAGGGTCTGACTGCCTGTATTCCATCCTAGTTTTGTGACTTCAAAGCTACTTTGGATCAGTTTTCTTGTAAAATGGGAATAAAAAGTACCTAATTCACTGAGTTATTGTGGGATTAAGATGAATGTGCACATGTTCATGAAAATAATATTTATTCATACTCTTTAAAATGGTATCTGGCACAGAGTAAGAACTCAGCATATTATTATTGTTATTGTTATGTGCAGATGCTCTGCTGTTCTGGGGAAATAATGATTAATGGGAGTTGTCCTGCCCTCAAGCAGCTATAAACTGGATGGAACTGGGGAGAAAAGGCAGGTAAAACCAGGTTGGAATGCTCCAAGAGCATCTCACTTGCCTTTCCTGGCTCTTCTTAACCACCTCTAAAATCTATTCTCTTCTGTGGTCTCCTATTACAATTGATTTCTCTTTTTTTGTTCACATGGTTATACTTGAATTCATTCAACAGCCATTTTCTCCATTTTTGCTACCTCTCAGGAATACCTGTAGGTTAGTAATATAAATTCACCACAAGCTGCTATCTTTTTTTGGCAGTGAGACTAAGTAGATTAACTAGGATTTTATCTTTCCTATACTTTTGGATTATAGTTAGAAATTTCTGTGTAGGATTTGTAGCTCCTTTAATCCTACCACGTCTGTCTGAGGCTTTGTAAATACTCCAACATTTACTGATTACAGAAGCTCAGAGCCCTTCCCATGGTAAGTTCATTTGTTAGTATTAGGAGACTCTAGCTGGTAGCAGTGTCAGAGCTGAAGACACAAATGAAATATCTGGGATGAGTCCCAAGTAGTTTACACCTCCTGAGAAGGAACTAGGAGACAACACTGCTGCCTGTTAATCTGTTTAGGTGCCTCGAGGTTACACTATCTACAGGCTCTGAACAGAGTCTTGGCTCCATGTCTCTTATCACTCCTACTACATTTCAGAATTCTCACTTCAAATTCCTTTAAACCTCCATAGCTTGATATGTATTTGAAATATATTTCTATATCCTCTCTCCTTATTGCCATGAGGACATCTCAAAATGTTGGAATGATTATGGCTCGTTTTCCAAAAACTGATTGCAAGGACAGTTTTCCTTATCCACCACGGAGTCTTTACAAAGCTACACTCCTTCCTCTGTTGCCCGTGCAGATAATTGTGAGGATGTTGAGAAACAGAAGGAGGGGGAGGGGAAAGAGAGTTATGCAACTCCTTTATCTGTTTAAAAGTTATCTTTAACTGAGCTGGTCTCAAACTGATAAGAGATGCTTAACTTTCTTAAGAAAAAGTAGTACCTCCTGGGGAAAGCAAACATAATGAAAGTTGGCATAAATACTCATCTGCTGATATTCAAGTCCATCTTAAATACTGTGGGTAACTGCAAGTGAATGGCAACCTTGTGTGGAGGAAGTCAGGGAAAGGAGAATTTCTGTTGCGTGGCTCTCACCCCTGGTATAAAGACCCTGGCTCCTGGAATTCTGTGAATGGTCCTGGATTTCTTTGCTCAATTCCTTTGTGTTAAACACTAAAGGAAAAAAAGCACTTGTTTTATTTAGTATTAGAACAAATTTCAAAGTTGGCAGAAGGGACATGATTAGATCCTGTTGCTAACCATGAATGAGTTCTTGAAAACACACCTGCTGCACCCAGACCTTTCACTTTACCCTTCTTTGCCTGGGTGCCCTGGTTTTATACATTTTCATCAGAGGGAAAATAAGAGTAGGGAAAGGGAGAGATTTTCAGATCAAGTATCTGGCTATCAGTTGGAGGCTTTAAAACTTAAAGCAGGGTAAAGGCTGAGAGAGAAACTGTGTTAACATCTAAGGCTGGAACCATGATTCCATCACCTCCTCTGTGACCTTGGGGATGGTCACTCCTCTGATCTGAGCTTAATTTTGTTTAAAATTTGAGGGGGGGGGGTGTGGGAGATGGGAGGGGAGGAGGGACAGAAAGAAAAAGAGAGGAGAAAGACAGAAAGAGAACAAGTACACCCATCCACCAGTTCACTCCCCAAATGCTTGCAATAGTTGGGGCTGGACAAGCTCCAGGAGGCACAGACTCAATCTAAGTCTCACACATGGGTGGCAGGAACCTGCTTACTTGAGCCACCTTTGATGTCTCTCGGGGTCTGCACTAGCAGGAATCAGGAGACAGGAGCAAGACCTGGGACTTGAACCCAGAAATGTTAATGTGGGATATGGGTATCTTAACTGCTAGGTTAAATGCCTACTCCCTGAACTTGTTTCTTATCTGTCAGATACAGGATGGGCCAGGATGCCTTGCAGCGGTAGCACTTCATGATTTACAACAAAGGGATATGAACTTCTTTCCAAACAGGAGAATCGCCCTGGAATGACTTAATGTTTCAGGCCAAGCCCCAACCTCCGCTTGGTCCTCAGACTCCCCTACCTTGGGCCACGGAGTCTGACTGCACATCTCCATCATAATTTTTACAGGCCCAGATGAAGCCTCCTTCTGATTTCATTGCTTGGGCCACCATGTCGTCGATGAGCCTGTGCTCATACCAGATCTTTTGGGCTTCAAACTGGGATTTGTACTGCCTAAGAAACAAGAAAAAATAATCAAAAAGGAGACAGGCTTTGTTAATGACATCATCTGCTTCTCCCAAAAGGGATGGGAATGGGGCTGGATACAGTACTCTTCAGTAAAAGCAGCACAGACTTGGGAATCTGGCAGGGAGAGGCTGAAATCCTTGTTCAATCATTTTCTAGGTATGAAACTCCAATTTGCCCATCTGTAAAAGTGATGCCACCTGCATTGCAGAAGTGTGAGAATCAAAGGAAACATAGTGTCCTAACTACTATTTTATTTTCCAGTTTTCAAATACTACAGATCAGATTCCTGAGACCTAACTTATTTTAAGGCTGTAATAAATGGAGGAAAAGAGACTATTCTGCTTGATATCATTATGGAAGCTAGATGTATTACAGGACAGTTTCTATGTGTAGCATGGACAGGTGGCAGAAAGAGGCACCAAATACCTCAGGGAAGATTTCTCACCTAAAATTTAAACAGTGGCCTGCACACTTGCACCTAAAGAAGTTTGCATCATCTTAAAAGTTAACACAGGCTCATCTTATGTGTTGATGAATCCCATGTTGTCATGAACTTAGACTGAAGTTCAAGTGATTATACTGAAGCAGTTTTAAATCATAACAACAGGCTTCAGAAAGAAAGGAAGTGGTCTTGAATCAAAAACTCACACAAATTGAAAAATTAGGACTTTGTATCACAAACAGAGTGCTTTTAGTCAAACATTAAACAATCCTGGCATTGGAAAACATTACTGTGGAGCCCTTATTTGAGAACGCATTTGCTTTCATTTTTTTAAAAATTTATTTGCAAGGTAGAGTGACACAGAGAGATGCAGGGAGATCATCCATTCACTGGCTCACTCCCCAGATGCTCTTTTCTTTAAGGGGTAGTGCTGATTTGTCCCAGAATCGAAGGGATAAAGAGATGCAGTGTCTCTGCCATTCATTTCAGCTTTCTTAAGAAGAAAGAAAAAGGGAAAAGAGAACTGTAGTTACTTACTTGTCATAAATCTCCTGAAAGATGTCTTTGAAACGTCCATCATATTTCTTCAGAATAGTGTTTTTGGTGCTCAGATACAAAGGCCAGCCCTTAGACAGAGCCATCTGGAAGGAACTGTGTGCAAAATCTTCAATCGATTTATCTTGATTGTACATCCCCATGGCAACGCCACCACCCTCTGTTGAGGTGAAACAATGAGAGGAAAAAGGAGGAAGGTAAATGGAGTATGGTTGTCATCAGACTAACATCATTCACGTCACAGCTTCCAGACTCAACAGGCCCAGGCAGGCTTCTGGTCTGAATATTCCACAAGTTCCCAAGGCACACAAAGGGAAGAAAGTCAGTTCTAGATTAGAACATTCTAACTTGTTTTCCAAAGGCAATAGAAATGAAATAACATGGCCTTTAGGATCCTGAACAAACTGAAATAAGAAAAATGATTGATGTGAACCAGAAGAGGAAAATAATTTTTTAAAAAATTTATTTATTTGAAAATCAGAGTTACACACAGAAGGAGAAGCAGAGAGAAAGAGAGAGAGAGAGGTCTTCCATCCGCTGGTTCACTTCCCAGTTGGCCACAATGGAACTACACCGATCTGAAGCCAGGAGCCAGGAACTTCTTTTGGGTGCAGGGGCCAAAGCACTTGGGCCATCTTGCACTGCCTTACCAGGCCATAGCAGAGAGCTGGATGTGAAGTGAAGCAGCTGGGTCTCGAACCGGTGCCCACATGGGATACTGGCACTGCAGGCAGCAGCTTCACCCACTATGCCATAGCACCAGCCCTGACAAATAATTTGGAATTATTTTCTACGTGTAGCCTAAATTTTAGGGTTGCACTCAATCTTCAGTCACTGAGAAAAATTTTCAATTTAAATACCGAATGAAGGGGACTAGGGCAGTGCCAGCATCCCATATGGGCGCCAGTTTTAGTCTTGGCTGCTCCACTTTGAATCAGCTTCCTGCTAATATGCCTGAGAAAGCAGCGGAGAATGACCCAAGCACTTGGGCTCCTGCAACCAAATGGGAGACCCGGAAGAAGCTCTGGGCTCCTGTCTTCAGCCTGGCCCAGCTCTAGCAATTACAGCCATCTGGGAAGTGATCCAGCAGATGGAAGATCTCTCTCTCTCTCTCTCCCTCTCTTTCTCTCTCTGTAGCTCTGCCTTTCAAATAAATAAATAAATCTTTAAAAAAAATACCAAAGGGAAATTCTCATAACTTCCTAGAGGATATTGAACTGGTCCTAATATAATTGGTAGAAATAATTATGCTTCATGTAATCACTGCTGTTTCACAATTCCTACTAGGTGAACTCTGTTTTCACTGAAAGGCAGAACTTGAACCCATGCCAATGCCTAGGGTTAACCTGAAAGGTGAATGTGAAAGGTACTGAAACCTGCAGAACTACATTTTATTAAGATGATATACTTAGAAGAGGCAAGGAAAACAATGTAGGTAAATGTTGAGGTTTTTGTTTACGTAAGTACTTTCAACAACTTTAAGAGAAGAGAAGAGGGCTCACTGGGTTTTTCGAGAACTTTTGGGTGGGTTTTTCCATAATGCACCTTAGAAGCAGCTGGACAGCTGGGGAAGAAAAGGCATAAAACAAATGTTCCACTTTCACAGGGTAAATACGCAGAAGGGCAAGAAGAAAATCTCAGCAAATGAATAATGCAATCATTTCCAAATATATAAACCCTACTGGAACAAAGGACAGGATTACATGACAAATCATTTGGGGCTACTGAGGTTTAATTTATACAATGTATGTGCAATCAATTCTTGTCAACATTCACTCTATACATAATGATCTCCTTGCCTTAACCTGTATATCTTTCCACATAAGTGGCTAACCTCTGTGTGCCTTTATGCCTTTATCCATGCTAGGAGAAGGCATGGAAACCAACTTTTTTATGTAGGTTGTGAGTTCTGCAGAGATGTTGTAAATTCAATCTTTAGGCATTCATAACAATCAAAAGTATTAATATTGTCTAAATCATTTGTGAACAGTAAAAGATATATCTTAGGATGATTCATACATACCTTCAAAGTTATGCACCAGGTATGTCACCTTCTGGGTCCCATCACTTGGCGTGTAGGTTATCTCTACTTTCCCAGGCCCGGGGACAACAAAATCAGTTGCTCTGTACTATTTAGAGGAAAAGAAGCATTAGGGAAAAAAAATACCGGAACAAGAATTATACAGAAAAGAATCACAGAATACAGAGCTAGAAGACACCTAGACAAACTGGGCATGGTAGCTCAACCTCTTCTTTTAAGAGATGAAGTTGAAGAGGTCCAGAGAATTCCCAAAGCTAGGTTCTGGGAGTGTACATTAGAAAAAAAATCAATAAAGGTTTTTAAAAAATTAAAAAAAGAAAAGGGATTGAGCATTTGGCCTAGCACTTAAGAAACCAGCTGTGATACCCACATCCTATAGTGGAGTGCCTTGGTTGGAGTCCTGGCTACAACACCGATTTTAGCTCTAACGGGTGCTCTGGGTGGCAGCAGGTAATGGCTCAAGTAATTGGGATGTTGCCACCCACATGGGAGACCTAGATTGAGTTCCCAGCTGGCTTTGGTCAGTTGTTGCAGGCATTTGAGTGAACTAGTAGATAGGAACTCTGTCTTTGCCTCTCAAATAAAAAAAAAAAAAAATCAATAAAGGGGCAGGTGTTCAGTCATGCCTGCATCCTATTATCAGAGTGCCTGCATTTTAATTCCTGGCTCTGGCTCCTGATTCTAGCTTCTGCTGATGTGTACCCTGGGAGGCAGCAGTGATGGCTCAAGTAGCTGGGTCCCTGCCACCCATGTAGAAGACCTGGAGTGAGTTCCTAGCTCCCAGCTTCAGTGCCTTTGGCATTTGGGGAGTAAACCAGCAGATGGGCTTGCACTGTCTGCATCTCAAAAAAAAAAAATCAAGAAATATTTATTAAGTGTCTACTATGTACATACAGTTTAAGCACTAATATAGAGAGGGCAGAAAATAATATAACGTACTTTCCCTTAGCAAGCTTGCAACCTAACAAAGAAGTACATAAGTGAGAAGCAATTAGAACTTTCAAATGTCACAGGGGGAAAAGACAAAATACATATATATATATATATATATATATGCTATGGAACAACAGATAAAGAGAGATGGCCACAGCCTGGAGGTCAGGGAGGTCTTCTGGGAGGGGGATAATGATAACATCAGTGGTAGTACTAAAGATGATGAGATGGCAATTGTTTGCCCTCACTATGTGCCATGCACTTTATGTGCTTAACTTGCATCATCTCATTTGATTCTTACATCACCTTTACATGGAAGGAAATGTGATAGAGTAGAAATAATGCATCCAGTGTCAAAAGACTTGGGGTCTGGTACTTAGGATTTTCAGAGCTCAGTCTCTCCATGGTTATCATTGCTTTTAACACTAAGCTCAGGACTTGTTCACATGAAGCAGTCATTCTGGAAATAGCTGCAACAGATTAATGACACTTAGGAAACGGCTGTCCAGGGACAGCAGCCTCTCTCATAGGCCTGAGCTACTCTAGTGGAAAAATGTGTCTGGCACATACCAGGCATCCACAAGTCTTTGCTGTTTGTACTTTCTTCTTGTTCTTCTTTTTTATGAATATTTTCTATTTATTTTCATCTACCTGAAATATGGAGAGGGAGAAGAAAGAGAGGGAGAGGAATTGGGAGAAAGGGAGAGAGAGGGATCAAAATCTTCTATCCCTATCCACTGGTTCATTCCCCACATGCTCACTGAAGCTAGGCTGAAGCTTGGAGCCTTGGGTCTCCCTTGAGTGGCAGGTACCCAAGTACTTGAGCCATCATCTACTTCCACCCAGGATGTGCATCAAGAGGAAGCTGGATCAGAAGCAGAGTGGGCACTTGAACCCAGGTACTCTAAAATGGGATGCAAACATGGGCTTAACCTGCTGTGCCACAATGCCTACCCCTGTACCTTCAGGGACCTGGATTAGAATTTTTTCAGTCAGGCACCAGTAGCTGCCAGACATACCTACTTGTTTAGAGTAATACTAAGAACAGCTGGTAAAAGACTAGTCAGATAGCAATAGGTTAAACAGCCAGAATATTTCTGCATGTAAAGTCCTTCACTGTGGGTGGTATTTGATTCCCAGTTTTCAAAAGGAAGAAACTGAGGCACCAAAGCACCATTAATGTTTTGTACAGGTTTATGTGCATTTAAACTCTCAATGAATCAACCTCAAGTTCGGAATTTTCCACCTGGATTTTAACATACAGAATGGCTGTTCATCCAAATGAGTGACTGATGCCAAGATGATTACAGGTTTGTACTACTGTCACTAACACTCCTTGCCTGGGACTTTGGGAGGTATCTCTGGAGGGACTGGCCAAGACGAAGGGACAGATTGAACTCAAAGTGGGAGAAAGTTAACTGACTCCTCAAGGACTGAGCTAGTGACCTTGTCCTCAGGAACAGAGAACTATTTACCCTTGCCACACTGTCTGCAAGCGTGGTTGTGTGGAAGCCTCTGGATTTCAGTATTAGGAATTCCTGTTTTTAAGGTTCTAAGGCATAAGCTCCTTTTTACGAAACTGTCTGAAACAGTTTCAACACAGCATGGGATTTTGTTTGGTTGGCAGCTTTTCTGCTTAATTTGGCAATGAGCCTACTTGTACAGAAGTACAAAAATTGCACTTTTTCTCCAGGCCGAAAGGAATGCTTTAAAGGGATTGCTTTCGACTACTGAGTTTTTCCTTTTATCAATGAAGTGATCACGTTTAATAGAATCTTTGGTGGTTCTCGACCCTGCCTGTCCATTAGAGTCACTTGGGGAGCTTTAAGACGTCTGAAACCCAGGAAATTCAGGCTGGACTCAGGTGTTAGAATTAAAACACAGAAAGAAACAAAAGAGGCAAACAAAACAAAACAAAACAAAATTTAAAGAGCTCCTAATATGCAGCTAGAGTTGAAAGCCATTGATTGGGTTGGAGCATATGAAATCAGCAACATAAAAATGGCAGCAGTAGTGGCTGGTGCTATGGCATAGGAGGTTAAGCCTCCACCTGCAGTGTTCGCATCCCATATGGGTACCAGTTTCGATTCCTGGATGTTCCACTTCTGACCCAGCTCCCTGATAATGGCCTGGGAAAGCAGTGGAAGATGGCCCAAGTGTTTGGACTCCTGCACCCATGTGGGAGACCTGCAAGAAGCTCCTAACTCCTGGCTTCAGGTTGGCTCAGCTCCAACCACTGTGGCCATGTGGGAAGTGAACCAGTGGATGGAAGATCTCTCTCTGTGTCTATAACTCTGCCTCTCAAATAAATAAATAAATCTTTTAAAAAAGTTTTTTAAATGGCAATAGCATGTGGCGTAACCTAGCAAAAGGATAAAGGAAGAAAAACCATGTTTGGAAAAAAAATCACATGTGTTAAGATGGGTACCTATCTGTAAGTCTGTTTGTATTTACCTCTATCTAATGTTATTCACATCTGCATTTCTCAAATTTGCACTGCACTTAGGGCATAGACACCAAGATATGAGAATAAGACATGGGACTTCTGGGCTATGAAAAAAGAATATGAATACTGAATTATGACATGGGCCGGTGCTGTGGCTCATCAGATTAATGCCCTGGCCTGAAGTGCCGGCATCCCATATGGACACCAGTTCAAGACCTGGCTGCTCCTCTTCTGATCCAGCTCTCTGCTGTGGCCTGGGAAAGCAGTAGAAGATGGCCCAAGTGCTTGAGCCCCTGTACCTGCATCGAAGACCCGGAAGAAGCTCCTGGCTCCTGGCCTTGGATTGGCTCAGCTCCAGCCATTGTGGCCAATTGGGCAGTGAACCATCGGATGGAAGACCTCTCTCTCTCTCTGCCTCTCCTCTCTCTGTGTAACTCTAACTTTCAAGTAAATAAATAAATCTTTTTTAAAAAATGACTTACTTGATCTCCATAAGCATGGCGGCCTATGATGATGGGTTTTACCCACCCAGTCACAAGCCGGGGGATATTTTTGCAGATAATAGCTTCTCTGAAGACAGTGCCACCCAGAATATTTCGGATGGTGCCATTAGGCGATTTCCACATTTGTTTCAACTTGAACTCCTCAACTCTCTTCTCATCCGGGGTGATGGTAGCACACTTGACGCCCACGTGGTACTTCTTTATAGCTTCTGCTGCATCCTTGGTGACTTGGTCATTGGTGGCATCCCGGTTCTCTATGCCTAAGTCATAGCTTGTGAGTGGGCAAAGTATAAATAAACTTTTTAGACACACTGATGGGTTATAATCTATGACCACAAAAGTAGTATGCAGAGCTTGTCACACAGAAAGTGAAGGTGCCACACACATCTGTATCTGCCTGTTCTCAGTATTAGCATATCCTGAACACACAAGCTGGCTGCTAATTAAAAAAGAAGCCAAGGCTGGACAGCTGGGCCCTGCCCCCTGAGTTGCAGAGGGAAGCTGCCTATCAGGAAACTGAATGGCATCCATTGAACTCTGTCCCCTATCCCCCGTTCTATACCATACAGCGGCAATAACAGTGCCTGAGCAACCCTTTGGCCTAGTTTCCCTCCATATAATTAGCATACCAATGTATGCCTAGGCACCACCTAATTTTTCCCTAGTAAATATTGTGCTTCTCAAGTAAAGGGGGTGGAAGGCTTAAAGGGTTTATTTTGACATTAAAGGGGTGGGAGGATAGATGTGAGAGTTAATGCCAAAAATGTTAATGCTTTCCTCATTAATGCTAGTTAGTCATGAGGTGAACCTTCCCCTAATTCTTGTGCAAGTCTCTGTTCTGGAAAGAAGCTTGTAGTTTATTGGATAACTAACGTAGTCCACCAACTGCTGTGTATACACCAAAGAGACGTAACTTAATGCACACCAACACCCAGATTGCTGATTGTCACTTAGAGCTAAACAGATTTGGTTGTCCATGAGCATAGGAAGTAACAGCAAAGTTTTAGTGAAAGTATGTGATGTTTTATCAAAGTAGGAAAAACAAAATGATGTAACAATTTATTTTGATCTCCAAGGCTCTCAGAAGTTTTTCAGCTCTCAAAATTTGCTAAACCATTAATTAAGTCTAGATTTCTCTTTAGTTTTTGTGTCTTCCTTCCCTTAGGTATCCCAATTTATGACACAGAGATAGTAATCTTGACTTACTTGCAAATAAAAAAATTTCTTACTGCTTCAACCTTAGATAACTCATATAAATCTAACCAAGCCATGTACTTTCTTGTCTTCTTGCATAGGAAGTGCTGAATATCTACAAATGTGTAATCCCAGCTTCAACAAGAAGTGTTGTCAACAGTTTTCATGTTCTTTGGGACCACTTCTCATTAGAAGAATCTACCTACAAATTAGAGGGTTTTCTGCTTCTATGCTTAGCGTTTCTAAGAGAAAAGAAGGAATAAATGACCCGGACTACTATCTGGGCTACTCAAAAATAAAGTAACCATGTCATTCTCCTCAAAAAGAAAGTCAGCAATGATAGCAATTTTGGAACAACTTAAAACTTGATTGAGCTTCCAGGAATCCTCTAGTCTGCAGCCACTGAACTCTTCCTCCTAACAGCTCTCCTTTAATACTCCTATGCCTCCACAGTTAGGAGGCTCCAAACATCTTTGCAGTTATTATACAGGGTCCTGAATAATTTTGCAAGTTCAGCTACTGTCATATAAGTTCTGAAACAGTAGAGAGTCTGTAAAGTATTTCTTTTGCCCACTTGGAAGATGTTTTTATTCTTCATTTCCTATAATATGTCTGGCAAACCTCTGCAAGGATTTACACCCTACTATGGTTGCAACAGCTTAATTACTACTATGGTATCAGCAGCTTAAGTTTAGAACGATTAAAAAAGGTGTCTAACAACACCACGTGAATGAAACATCTACACCTATGCAAATAATAGGTCCTCAGGACACATTGTGAGGAAGAAGTCTAGGTTGGGCAAACTCACACAGCTGCCAATAGTTTGGCTGAAATGTGTTGCTCAACCTTTTACCACACTAGTTTTCAGCTTTTTTTACCCTTTTAAAAATTTCCTTTGCTTAGTTCCAATACAAAAAGAACATGAGCAAGTTTAGGAGAAACATGGGGAAAAAATGAGAGAATGACATAAAGACTTTTTATGTCTTTATGTCTCAAACTCTTTAAACGCAGGGTAGAGGAAAGCAGATGATTTGAGGGAACTTCTGTTGGAAGGTAGGTTTTGATTAAATATATGTAAGGGTTCTTTCTGTGCTATAACTGTACGAAAAGGCCAAAAGGCACAGAAAGAAAAGGAAAAAAGGCCCGTTCATTAATTAAGTAGAGTGACAGAAAAATGAGCTTGAAAGGACAAAACTGTGTTAATTACATTAGTTCATTTGATCTTAGATGTCTATTTTTTTTCCCCTTCCACAAATAATGCATTGTGCTATCTTGGCTACTGATTTACTACGAATAAAACTTTCACAAGAAATGGAGTTGGTTAAAAAAGCCTGACGCTCACTTTGTTCCCCTTAGAATTCTTGATTTCGAAATAATTCATTTTTCTGATAATAAAATTCATCTGAATATATGAAGGCTAAAAGAAAAGCTTTCTTCATAAACTGTAGCTACATCCATGTAAAAAGGCTAACTGTACTTTGAAATAACTTAGACTATGCTATCTAAATTTGCCAGGTATGTGGAGGAGTCATTACCTATGCAGATCCAATTCCACATACGGATATATAAGTTTCTCTTTAATCAATTCCCAAATAATTCTTGTCATTTCATCTCCTTGCATCTCAACCACAGAACCGCCATGGATTTTTTTGGACATTTTGACGTCTATCAACCTAAAAAGAGAATGCAATAAAATATATGCTTTGTCATTTTATTTCATTATAAAGTAGAAATGAAATGTAAACTGTGTGATGATTGCTAAAAGAACAATTCATATTAGTAATAGCACAGATGCATTAAAAGCAAGTGACAACAATCACATTTACCATTAGAATTGTGTACCTTCTCTTTACAAAGCGTTGTTAACTTGCTTCAACTGTGATTTCAGCGTCAGCCCTCAGAACAACCCTATACATGGAAACTACTTTCCCATTTTACTTTCTGAAGAGAAAAACAGCTTGCCTAAAACCGTCTCACTGGAGTGAGGGGACATGCCACTGATCATGCCATCATTACTCTGGTCTGCCTTAAAAGCTGAGATGGCTTACATCATCACTCTCTGCGATGATTTCCACACCATCATGCTGATTTGAACACTTCTGTCCAACCCCTCACTTTCTGGGCCCTTGAGATTAGCAGGATAAGTGAGTGCTAGTATTTCGCCTCATTTAAGAGGCTACTTTGGTGACAATAACTACCTCTCAGAAAGTTCACCTGGTTCTTGTGAGTCATAGTCAGGAAAACATTAAGACTGAAAGATGAAGATTTCCTGGTGGAACTATGCTTTTTTGGGGGGACACAGACATTACAGATATGGAGCTAAAAATAGAAATGACTTCTCCATTGGAGGTACCTGTATACAGTTGTAGAAGTGCCAATGCCCAGGCCCTGGGCATGTTCCTGCTGTGTTCCTAGGTACCCTAACTCCTAGACCAATCCTCGGCTTGTCAAGAGCAAGGGTAAGATAGAGAAGCAGCATTTTATGGGTAGAAATACAACTTTTAAAAAATGAAGTGGAGGAGGGGGTAGCAAATTCAAATCCATCTGACTCCAAGAAAGGCCAAGGGTGTGCACACTGTGGAAAAAGTGTCAACTGTGAGGTTTCTAATGAGGCCATGTCCTGTGCTTACTCCCCAAGAGGCAGAGGAGGGCCTGGGCCCACAATAAGCCTTGGTTTCTTCTCATGAGTCTAAAGGGAACTTTTATAGCAGCACAACTGCAAACTGCTTTCAATTGTAAGTTATAGGTGAGGATTGTACAAGTAGGCAGAGTGAGCTTTGAAAAAATCATTAGCTAAAAAGACTAAAACAGTCTCTCTTGAAAAGATGGGTTAAAGTAATTTGGTCTTTAAAAATGAACAACTAGACAGTAAGCCTCAGTGTTTTCTAACAAGCCAGGATATATTCCTAACCTTTAAGCCCATTTTCATTTCCCAAATTTGTAATTCTAGAACTTTATTTACAGTAGTTAGTGTCTAGGCTCCCTAGACCATTATTGAGGAATGTTCTGGAACTCAACTAGAATAAAAGGAATGAACTGGTATGGATGAATCAATTACTTCTCAGTAATTTCAAATATAATTTATAGTACAGTTTAAAGTACTACGGTCATGCTTAATCAAACTGTCACACCTATCTTTGTTTTAAAACAAGCAAACAAACAACAAAAAAAAAGCCAGGCAGTAAATTTATCTTGGCCTTGATACCACATTTCTGTAGCCACATTCCTACGTAGTATTACGCAACAGTTATGACTTGGCTATTTTTCCTTCAGGGCCAACAGTTACAACTTGGTGATCCAGCAGGGTACTCACAAGTGACAGTATGCTTTTGGTTCAGTTATTTCCTTCTCAGTGAAAGCAAACGTAGTCTCTGCAATAATCTTTCTGTATCTTATAATGCATAACAAACATTTCAGGTTTTTCTCACATTATTTACACACAATTTTTTGCAGATTTTAAAATGACTTTTTAAACCAAAAAAGTGAAGTTTTATTATTACCTACAATTTACAGCATTATTGTATGCTTCTGGGTTTCATTTCCAGGGGATGGGCTATAGGCCCCACCAGATTCACTTCTGCACCCTTGCCCTTCTTATTTTCTGTTTCCACCTCAACCCCAACTTCTGAAGGAAGGGCTATCCCAAGCCTAAGTCACCAATTCATTGAGACTGAAAGCAGCTGGATTCCAATCGCCTGGCATACTTGTGCAATTCTAGAAAAGAAGCCTGGAACACTATAGAGTAGTTTAAGAAAAAAAGAACCACTCGCCCCAGTTAATTTTATTTTCATCAACCTCAGGTTTTTAGCTATTTTTTTTCAAGATTCATGTTGCATTTATTTGAAAGGCAGGGTTACAGGGAGAGAACGAGAGACAGAGAGAGAGAGAGAGACCCTACATCCACTGGTTCAGTCCCCAAATGGCTGCAAAGGCCAGGGCTGGGCCAGGTTTAAAACAGGAGCCTGGAACTCCTTCCAGGTCTCCCATGTGGGTGGCAGGGGCCCAAGCACCTGGACCATCATCCACTGCTTTCCCAGGCACACCAGCAGAGAGCTAGATGGGAAGTGAAACAGTTGGATCTTGTACTATCGCCCTTATGGGATGCCAGTGTCACAGGCAGAGGCCCCACCTGTGGCTACACCACAACACTGGCTCCCAGCCAGGTTTTTCTTTGTTTGTGTGTTTGTTTTGCTTTTTTTTAAAAGCTCAGTTCAGGAGCTACAATAATTGGTGAGCAGATAGTCTCCTGCAGAGAAGACTGGACAAAAAAAAAAAAAAAAGCTGTGGCAATTTATTGTTGGAAATGCTCCAGACACCCTCTCGCAGTGCCTAGGCCTGCTCCAAATACTAATGGAACGCAGTACCCCGTTTGGCACGTGGGTTAAGTCGCTGCAGTCACAGCTTAGCATGGCTGCATCACATCCCAGAGTGCCTGGTTCGAGTCTTGGCTACTCACTCCCAATTCGGTTTCCTGCTAAAGCGCACCCTGGGGGGTTGCAGCAAGACCTCAAGTCCTGCTGCACCACGTGGGAGGCCCTGATGGAGTTCCAGGCTCCTTGCTTCAGCCTGGCCCAGACCTGGTTGTTGCGGGAATTTGGGGAGAGAACCAGCAGATGGACAATTTCTGCCTCTCTTGATTTTCACAGAAAATGAAAAACAAACAAAAATTTTCAATACAAAAACACAAAACCCTCAGTATTTCCACATCAAGGTAGAGAAGGGGGAAATTACTAATTCTCACCTCTGCGGCGGGTCAGTTTCCGGCGACCCCGGCTTCCCCCCGAGCTCACAGACTTAACCGAATGCAGCTTCTCTCCTAAAACAAAAACCACAGCAACCAGGCATTGAAAGCCGTAATTTACAAAGCACCTCCGCCTAGAGCGTTCAGCTGTTTTCAGAGCTTGGGGGGCCCCCGGCAGGATTTATCCGGTTTGAAGTATAGCGCCCAGCGTGAGACCACCGCAGAGCGCAGGCGGAGGCCCTTTCCAGATAAAGGGCAAGGCGCTGCCCGCACACACCAGGGGTGCGCCCCGGGGCGTGTCCTGCTCGCCGTCCCTTAGCGGATCTCGGGCTTGCCCGTCCTTGGGTGACGCGGCCGCCCGCAGTAGGCTCTCGGCCTGCAGGCCTCCTCCTGGTGGCCGCTGTGCGAGAGGGCTGCGGCCAAAGCGGGCTCGGTCCCTCCCCCCGGGGCTCCACGCCCGCCCCTTGCCTCCCGGGGGCCGGGACCTTTAAACCCCAGGCACCCGGAGCCGGCTGAGGCCGACTGTGCGTCCCTCCCAGCCCCCAGCGGCCCCGGGTGGCCAGGCGACGGTTCCTCCGAGGGACGCCCCCGGGCCGCCCGAGGTTGGCGTCCACGCCCAGGTCCTCGGCTTGCACCGTTCGCATGTTTGCCGCCTCAGACACGCACACTTCGCCTTCCTCGCGTCTGGGCGACTCCGCCACGGCTCGTGGGCGGGTCTGCTGTTTCACTCGTGATTGCATGCAGCGTGCCCCGCAGCCCACTCTCTCCCTCTCCCGCCTGGGGCCAGCCCTGCCACACATCCAAGGCTCCATCATCCTCTCCCTCCCTCAGAACCCTTTGCTACGCACGATGCTCTGACCGGTTCCCGTTCCTGCACCCAGGCCTAGCCGCTGAGTTCTTCCCTGAACACCCAAGATCGAGCCGAAGACTTCCCCCTTTTTCTCATTTCAGCTTTCCAGGGAACTAGAGCTTCCCCCAACAGCCGGGGGCCGGGGCCGCCCCTCGAAGCCCCGGGTTACCTGCACCAGGACGGACGCTGCCGACGAGCCGGGGGCGACAGTCACTTGCACGCTCCAACTCACCGGCGACCGCAACCGGGCCCCAGCTATTCCAGCTCCTGACACCGACTCTGCACAGACCAGGGACCAGAGGGCGGGTCCCGGCTTTTCCTCTTCCAGGCTTTTGTCCCCTCCCAGGCCCCGCCCCCTCAGCCCACCTCCCGGAGCCCCGCCCCCGCCGCCTGGCCAGTCGCGGCGCGCCGACTCCGCCGGAGTGGGCGGGGCGCGGGCCCGAGGCGTGGGGGCGGGGCCCGCGGTGCGGGGTTCCTCGAGCCGCTGAGACGCCGGGCGGCTGTAGCGCCTGGGGTTCGACTCCGAGTCCCAGCCGCGGTGGGGCGCGCATGCCACCTGCAGGCGGGAAGCGGGGCGCGCTTCAGCTTCGTTAGCATCGAGGGCTCGGGGGAGCGAATGCTCCGGTCGGCAGTGCAGATGAACGAGGGACCGAGAGCCCCAGACCTTGGCACCTCGGCGGGTGCCCCTCCCGGCATTCTCGGACGTGTCGGGGAGTGGAATACGCTTTGGAAGAAGGTGGAGTGCTCCGCGGGGCGTGGGGTCGAGGTGGGGGCCTCGGCGCTGCTAGAGTGCGTGGGATGGGGCGATCAGCCGCGCTCCAGTAGCTAATTCCCGCCCCCACCGGTGACCACGTCTCCAGTGCTACTGTACCACAAGTCCAGTCATGACCACCTGCTAGAAATAAACGCGTTCGTCTTTTGCCTCGAAGATAATGAAAAGGACTATTATCTGGCTTCCAATGAACTTGGGCTAGAGATGTGATGCCTTAGAAAATAGTGTATTAAAAAAATACTCCTGTCTTTTTCAAGGATTTATTTTTTGTGAAATATTTTGTATTGTGCTTTGTAACATCATAGCATAGTGTATATTGATGGTCCAAAATTGGTTTGGAAATTATCCCTGACATTGGATTATTACTCTTACAAGATAATAAAAAGGGCGTTTTGGACGCTAGAGGGCACTGACATTTTTCCTGAGAAAAGAAAGTAGGCATACACTTTGCCAGCTTGCTGGCTTACAATGTGGATTAAGGGATATTAGCGTCCACCTCCAGTTAGTCCTGTTGAAATGATTAGAGGTGTATAAGCTTATATTTTTAGCTCAAATATCAGTCTCTAAATCACCTAAGACTGCATATTTCACTTGTATTATATTAGGTTCACATTGTTTATTACCCCTTGATTACTACAAGGAAGCATTCATACCCATTCTTGTTTTAGAAAGTATTTAGTGCAGCCTTCAATAAATATACAATATAGGAAGATAAGCATTGATTACAGGTGATAAATATAGGATAAAAACCAAAATAGAATATTATTTATATAAAACCAAGGTGAGTTCAATCACAAAACACTTTCCATCAAATCCTAACCTCTTGCCAGAGATAGGCAACAAATTTGGCCAATCAATGTGTTAGGAAAGGTGGCGTTTATGGGAATTTCAACATCAAAAACAGGGTTTACTAAAAAGGTAATGTAAGAACTCTTTTTATCTGAAAAATTTTTAAAAATATGTATTTATTTGAAAGAGCCACAGAGAGAGGTAGAGACACAGAGAGAGAGGTCTTCCATCCTCTGGTTCACTCCCCAGATGGCCGCAACAGCCGGAGCTGGGCCTATCCAAAGCAAGGAGCCAGGAGCTTTTTCCTGGTCTCCTACGTGGGTGCAGGAGGCCAAGGACTTGGGCCATCTTCTACTGCTTTCTCAGGCCATAGCAGAGAGCTGGATTGGAAGAGGAGCAGCTGGGACTAGAACCAGCCTCCATATGGGATGCCAGTGCTTCAGGCCAGGGCTTTAACCCACTGTGCCACAGTGCCTGCCCCTATCTGAAATTTTTTTTTGTGTAAACCTAGAATTGACATATTAAGATATTACAAGCCGGCGCCGCGGCTCACTAGGCTAATCCTCCGCCTTGCGGCGCCAGCGCACGGAGTTCTAGTCCCAGTCGGGACACCGGATTCTGTCCCGGTTGCCCCTCTTCCAGGCCAGCTCTCTGCTGTGGCCAGGGAGTGCAGTGGAGGATGGCCCAGGTGCTTGGGCCCTGCACCCCATGGGAGACCAGGAGAAGCACCTGGCTCCTGCCATCGGATCAGCGCGGTGCGCCAGCCGCAGCGTGCCGGCTGCGGTGGCCATTGGAAGGTGAACCAACGGCAAAGGAAGAACTTTCTCTCTGTCTCTCTCTCTCACTGTCCACTCTGCCTGTCAAAAAATAAAAAATAAAAAAGAGTAAACCTTTAAAAAAAAGATATTACAAAATATATAAGTGTAAATTAGCTTCTTACGCTGATAGCTCTTAAACAACTATAAAAATATGCGAAGTGACTAGAAAAAAGCTACAGAATGACCCATTACTATTAACCAGATAAGTTAAATGTGATAAATGACATATGGCTGAAATTAAATTACTGCTTGAACTATAAATATGAAACTCATTACTTACATGCATGCCAGTTTTTTTTTTTTTTAAGATTTATTTATTTACTTGAAAGAGTTATACAGAGAGAGGGAGAGACAGAGAGGGTGCTTCCATCTACTGGTTCACTCCCCAAATGGTCACAACAGGCCAGGGCTGGGCCAGGAGCCCAGAGTTTCTTCTGGGTCTCTCATTTGGGGGCAGGGGCTCAAGGACTTGGGCTATCTTTTACTGCTTTCCTAGGTGCATTAGCAGTGAGCTGGATGGAAAGTGGAGCAGTTGGGACACAAACTGGTGCCCATATGGGATGTTGGTGTTCCAGGAGGTGGCCTTACCTGCTATGCCACCACACCAGCCCCTGTAAGTTCTTTCAAATTTAGCTGTCCTGTTTCCCTGGATGCCATGTGGTCAGTCATTAAGCCCCTCTACTTTCCTCTATTTATTATTTAATATTGCATGCCCTGTTACCATGTGTCTTTCATTTGAACAATAAGAGAATCTGAATATTTTAATATTTTTTGGATCTGAATGCTGTTGTAAAAACAATGAAAAAATAGGTCTTGCAATTTCTTTTAGCATTTGGTTATGAATCTAGATAGCAGGATTCACATAAGTATTCTAAGGTGATTGTATTTTCATTTTGATGATCTCAAAGAAAAAGGGGAGGAATGAAAAGAACATGATCAGTGCATGAAGAATGGGAGAGAGAATATTGAAGGTGCCTTCTATATTTAGAGTTTGGGTACTAAGGTGCTCTTAAACAAGGATATAAATAGAGTCACAGATCTGGTGGTCTAGATAATGAGTTAAGCTTAAAATTTGTTGAATTTGAGATACCTGTGGGACAGCAAGAAGGAAATATTCAGGAGGTATTTAACCACATTTATCTGGAGTTCAGGAGCAGTGTCTGGGCTGTAGAGAGAAATTTGGAAATCCTTAGCATGCATGATAGTAGTTGAAGACATAGGTTATATGAGCTCACCCAGATTTACAGAGTGAGAGCAAAAAGTCTAACCTAGCAAGAACCCTGAGGCTCATTTATCTTTATGGGCCAGGTATAAGAAAAAGAACCCTTCAAAAATGAGAAGGGACATTTGTGGTGGGGAAGTAGTGGAAGAATCAACAGTGTGATGTCATGGAAGCCAATGGATAGAAAAGGTTTCAAAAAGGCAGGACTACTACAGAGATCAAAAAAGCTCCTGAAAATACTTTTAGCATGTAGAAAGACTGCGTCAATGCATGTTTAGTAGACGGATTATGTGAGAAGGATTCCAACAGAAGCCATATTATAGAGGATTGAAGTGTGAATAGGAGGTATGGAAAGTAAGAAAGGAAAACCACCTTTTCAGGAAGACTGCTTTATTTCCACGTATTTTGTGCTGGTTAAAATGTCTTCTTTTTTGGGGTCTGAGGCTGTTATGTAGCTAGCAAAGCTGCCGGCAGCCATGGTGGCATCCCATATGGGTGCCTGTCCGGTTCGAGTCACAGCTGCTCCACTTCCAATCCAGCTCTCTGCTATGGCTTGGGAAAGCAGTACAAGATGGCTCAAGTCCTTGGGCCCCTGCACCCATGCGGGAAACCTGGAAGAAGCTCCTGGTTCCTGGCTTCGGACTGGCGCAGCTCCAGCTGTTGCAGCCAATTGGGGAGTGAACCAGCAGATGGAAGACCTATCTCTCTCTGCCTCTCCTTCTCTCTCTTTGTAACTCTGCCTTTCAAATAAATAAATAAATTTTTGAAAGTCTTCCTTTTTATGACTTTTTAAATTTATTTACCTTAGTTTTCCTTTTACACTTGCATCCATTCTTCAGGTTAGATTGCTAGAATTGGAATTATTGGATCAAGGAGTATAAACATTTTCAAGATGTTTAATAGATCCACCAAATTGTTACCTAGGAGAGATATGCCAATTTACATTTTCACATATAGTGTAAGAGAATACTAATTTCAGTGCATCCTGGCCAGGGCTGAGTTTCATAATCTTTAGGAACATCTTTACATTCTCTACTAAGGGGAACTGATGTTCTTTAGGTAATTTTTAGTCTAGGCTTGGGGCAGGAAAATTTCAAGATAAGCTGGGTTGGAAAATAAGGAGGTATTCTCAACAAATCATGTATAGAAGGACTATATCTCAACACAGTAAAGTCTACATCATCAGATCCATATCTAATATCATATTCAGCCATGAAAGAATGAAAGCTTTCCCTTAAAGTTCAGGAATAAGACAAGGATATTCACTCTTGCCACCTGCAATTGACATACTACTGGAAGTCCTAGCCAGAGCAATTAACCAAGAGAAAGGAATAAAAGGTATCCACACTGGAAATGAAGATATTTAACTGTCTCTATTGCAGATGACGTGATCATATATATACTATGATATAATTAATAGATTTATATAATTAATATAACAATAGCATATGCCATAAAGCACAGTGATATGTAATATAAATATCATGATATATATTATCATAATGATATATAGAATTATTTATGGGACCTATGCTCTGGTGCAGCGGGTTAACGCCCTGGCCTGAAGTGCTAGCATCCCATATGGGCACCGGTGAGACCTGGCTCCTCCACTTCCCATCCAGCTCTCTGCTATGGCCTGGGAAAGCAGTACAAGATGGCCAAAGTCCTTGGGCTCCTGCACCTGTGTGGGAGACCCAGAGGAAGCTCTTGGCTTCTG